GGGCGGGAGCAACCCAGCCCCAGCCATGGGCAGGTCAGAAACCACCACTCCAGGAAGGAGCCAGCGACCTCAGGACTTCTCTGCTGCCAAGCAGAGGCCAAGAGCAGCCCCCACCCTAGTAGCCTCTGCCACACACCCCCTCAAATCAGCAGCCCCCCAGGCTGGCTCTGCGGGAACCCACCTGCCCAGAGTGTAGCCGATGAACTTGCTGCGGCTGGACTCCAGGAACATCTCAATGTCCTTTTCCCTGCAGCAAAGGGACAAGGGGAAAAGTCACATCTTCCTGTCCGCCTGGGTACACCATAGCCCCAGGCACAGGCCATCAGGAAAAGCCCCGCAGTCAGACAAAGGAGATGGTGCGGAGCCCGCCCCACCACAAGAACAGCCACCAAAGCATCCATCAGATTGACCATCCCATCCTCAACATCTTCCCCACATCCCTGCTGACGTTCTCAATATTTAACAGCCTCAGTTTTTCCTCAGCCCGCTCCAGCTCTCCCCACAGCCTGCCCCAAGGTCAGCCCCACGGACTCACCGGACCTTGGGGGCCCAGGGCAGCCCCTTGGGGCAGGTGATGCGGTCGCTGGGGGGATGCTGGGTGGGGGGAGGCATCACTTCATCCCGTTCAAGGGGGAAGGTCTCTCCCTCCAGGCTGTTGTCATCATCATTCTCCTCCTCTTCTTCACGGGAGTCATCAGCTTTGTAAGGGTCCCGCTCGTTAAAGGCGTCGAGGTTATCCTGCTTAATCAGGGCCTGGAGACAGAAGAGCAGGCAGGTGAACATCTCGGGGACAAGCTGCTCCAAGGTCAGTGCCCAGACCCCAGCCCTCGTCCCCTCGTCCCCATCACTGTCCCCAGTCCCCTGCGCCAGCCTCACCTTGTGCTCCCGCCGGCCTCGCTTTTGCTGCTGCTCGATCAGATCGGAGGCGGACGCGGGCGGGGAGGCAGCTCGCATGTTGCGGATCACTTTAATGCTGTCCTCTGGGAGCGGCGGGAGGCCCAGGATCTCCCGCTTCTCTGCCTTCATGCTCTGGAGCTCCTCAAAGCCCCCCAGAGTGCACTGCAAGGGAGACCACTGCACCCTGAGGATGGGGGACTCCACGACACACAGCACCCGGGGCTTCTCCCCCCGCCCTCCCCAAATCTGCTCTCCAGGAGTCCCAAATCCTTCCCCGGGGTGTAAAACAAGAACTGCCTGTCCCCATGCTGCTCTTGTCACTGTGAAAGGCAGAAGGGACAGGAGGATGTTCAGGTATCCACAACTGAAGTGTCTGGACCCTTTCCTTCATGCAGACCCCAGCCAGGGACCTCGCTTTGGGTCTGTCCTTGGTCTCCAGCTCCAGACACCAATATCTAATGCTCCCTTACAGGGCGAAACCTGGAGGTGGGTTTAGTAGGGCACAAACTACCCAGCTGAACACCAGAAAAAGAGGATGGAGCAACTACAGCCAGTTCCGAGGGCAGAACTTCCTTCCTCTGCTGAACAAAAACCCACAAGACACGTGTCGGCACACGCCGCAGCCCCTCCTTACCAGCACAGTCTTCCAGAGCAAGAGCAGCACCTTCTTCATGGGGAAGTGAGGAGCGTGGCCGCTGCAGAATTTGGTGACCATCCCAAAGAGCATGACGGAGAAGGGCTCGTTGTTGTACAGAGGGGCTCCTGGAACCACAAGGCAGCGCTAGCCAGGCACCCCTCATCCCCATCCGCACCCCAACCGCCAGCACCACCAGCCCCTGCACGCTCACACAGCCTCTGCAGTCTCGCACCCCCCATCTCCAAGATCCTCATCTCACCCCAAACAGCTCCTCTTTTCCTTTCCAAGACCTTGTAGCCTCCGTAATTTCTTACCTCTGTGTTGACAGGAAACAACAGCCCCAATATTCAATTTTTTTTCCCCAGGGAGAGAGCACCCAGACAGCAGAAAAGGCTGGCTAGCTTCCTCTGCTCATCCCCCTTTGCCCCACCAGCAAGGTTCAGCCCAGCAGAAACCAACCCAGTGCTGGCAGTCCCTATTAACCGAGGCCTAGGGCCAAGCACCATCTCACACTCTCACTCTTCAGCCCTGGAAACCTCTGTTTCATCAACCCCCAAGCGCCTGGTCCTCACCCAGCTCTGCTCGGAAGGTCTGTCTCATGCTCTTCCACTCAGGCTTGTCCCCCTCGGCCTCTTGCCGAACAGTCTCCACAATCAGGTACATGATGTTCAGCAGCACCCTGCAAAAAGCGGAAGGTCAGGTGAATCACCAGAGGTTGGGATGAATTACGGAGGCCCCACCAGCATCCAGGGCTCTGGGTGGAGGCTGGATCAGCCCAGACAACAGCCGGTTTCCATGCACCCACTCCACACCAGGGCGTCGGCACTCAGGCACTGGGGAAAAAGGTCTCTGCAAGTCAAATCGGGAAAAAAAAAATTGCTTTTCCATACTTTACAGAATCGCAGACTGGTGAGGGCTGGAAGGGCCCTCTGGAGCTCCCCCATCCCACCCCCCACCAGAGCAGGGGCACCTCCAGCAGTGGCACAGGACGGCGTCCAGGCGGGTTTGGGATGGCTCCAGAGGGGGAGACTCCCCCACCTCTCTGGGCAGCCTGTGCCACTGCTCTGCCGCCCTCACAGCAGAGAAGGCCCTCCGCAGGTGGAGATGGAACTTCCTATATGTTAAGATGGAACAATCTTCCTATATTCTTCCTTACTGCTCTCGCGTCCCCAACCAGCCACGCATCTGCTGTGCAGGTTGAGCACAAGGGACATCTGCGGACCGAGCAGACCCGAGAGCACCTGACAACGCTCACGGAGCCCCGGCAGAAGCTGGGATAGCCCCGGGACAGGCTCCGGTGCCTGCTGGCCTGTCTCAGCTTGCCAAAGAAACCAGCAAACGCTGGGTCCACCTCCTCACCCCTGGAGCATCCCCTCCTCCGTACCTCAGGTCCGTGCTGTCAGCCAGGGAGATGGCAGGCTTCCTCACGGCACTGCTGCAAGCTGCGCTGTTACTGCAAAGGGAAAACAGCCTCAGAGGGGCCTTTGGGGATATTTTAACTCTGCCACAAGGAGCCCCCATGCCAGAGCCAACCCCTGGAACAGATACAGCCGCAACATATCCTCTGTTCACAGTGCAATCAACAGAGGAGGAAGAGACCTGTCTCCATTTGCTGCCAGGCAGCACAGCTCATAGTGGATTTCTATATAAATCAGGTATAATCCCACATTACATATCCACCCAGAACAACGGGAGTCATTCCGGTGGCTGCAGTAACCAGATTAGGGATAGACAGACTAGGAATAAGACTGCCACAAACTGGAAAAACTCCTTCCAAGGAGCTCCAGAGCCATTTCTGAAGTGCTTTCCCCCCAGTACTCACTCAATCTCCATGTTCAGCAGCTCCACCAAAGCGTTGAACGTCCCCACTTCCAGCAAGAGGAAGATGTTATACCTCATCCAAGCCTGCACCTCGGCCTCAGAGCCACATTCCCCAAACGTGCCTGCAACAACACCCTCGCTGGATCCCATCTCCGCAGGGATCCTGAGGCCCTCCCACACCACCAGAGCATTTTGCAGGGGGAATGAAAATGGCCTTAATTTTAAGCAAAAAAGTGGGATGCAGAGGATGGAACTGCCCTCCTGTGGGTAACGCAGCCGAGGGCCCGCAGAGCAGGGATAGCAAGGGGAAGCCGGCCAAATTTTGGACGAAACTCCTATAAAGTGTTTGCCTCCCACGAGAATTAGCTTTGTTCCAGACATCCCAGGTGCAATCAAAGACGCAAGGAACAAAAATTACGATTTTAAATATTTTAAATTGATAGCCTCCAATCCATTACGCGGATTTAGCAAAGGGGAAACTAAGGAGGCAGAGGCCTGGTGTCACCTTGGGCAACGTAAAGGATGGCTCGGGCAACCTTCAGCCTCTTCTCCCGTGCGGTGACCTCCAGCCCGTCGAGAAGCCGCATGGCATGAGTGCGGTGCTGGTTCTTGTCCAGCTCGGTCCATTTCTTGTCCCGCACTGAAAAGCCAAAGCAGGCAGGCTGAGTGCACGGGGCACCTCTGCTTGCCCTGGACACAAACATCACAAAAACAGCTCAAGAGGATTCAGCCTGATGGAAAACAGGGGTGCCCCCGGGAACACTGCGCTCCCGGGTGTAACGCCCAGGCACGCGTGATCAGCCTGGAGGGACCGTCTCCTCCCTTTCATCAGACAACTAGATGAATCACATCCATCTGAACCAGCACTGGCAGCTGATGGGAAATGAGTTGGATGCTCTTGCTGCTGCCAGTATGTTCCAGCACAGACGTCCTGGCGCTAACGAACCACCTCGGACATCACAATCAGCAAACACTGAACGTGCTGGAGGCAGCGAGCTGCACTGCGGGGCCAGCCATGCACGCTAATGAGGTCTCCAGTACAAACCACATGAAGATTATCGGTGCCCAGCTCCAGCTTTCTGACGCAGCACTAATGCATCAATCCCCATGTCTCCTTCAGGAGATCCCTGTCCCTCCCCAGAGGTGCGAGATGTCCAAAAGAAAGGTCTTACCGTGGATCCTGAAGTCCTCCTCAAAGCACTTGCGGTTGAGCAGGAACTCTGGTCCTTCCGTGTAGCTGTACAGCTCTGCCGAAAGAGCACAGAGGAAAACCTTCAACAACCTGCACTGAGCCGTCAGAGAAAGCTGCAACTCGGCCACGTTAATTGCAGTTTTATCCAAGATGAGGGAAATGCAAAAAAATACACCCAGCATAAAGCTAAAAAATATTAATTACACGGTATCACTTCTCTTTCAACATGAATGAGGTGTTTAAAGACAACAACAGAGTAACATTAGAGTTGAAAGAGCTCCTCTCATCACTACCAGGAAAGAAAATCATGGCTGATTAATTGATCCATCACAACAAGTCCCTTACCAGAGAGCTCTGCTGCCCATTTATCGGTATCTGCATATTCAAACTCCAGGTCTGGGGACTCTGAATAGCCCTGAAAGCAGAAGAATAATTCAGTTAAATCACAGCATTTTTCAGGGAAACCAAAATCCCCAAGACATTCACAATTCACCTCATCCTCCTGCAAATCCAGGATTGTATCTTCTGTTTTAAGAGACCAAAAATGTACCCGCAGCAGCGTAAATGTTACCAAGGCAACTCCTACCCACCTCCTGCATCTCCATCCCAGCTCTCCCCAGCTCCGCCGCATTGAGCCACGCTGCGCTTCACCGATGGGCAGCCCCTGTCATTGCACCACCTCTAAAACACTCCAGGAGCCCCAAAAGGCCAAAAAAATAAAGCAGGAGACGGAGCATGTTTAATCTCGGGGAGGGGGGGGGGCAGTTATATGGGCCCAGGGAGCTCTCAGAGCTCGCCCATTTTGCACAGACGTGTGAAAATTTGGGCTATCCCCCCAGATACCAGCCGACGTGAATAGTGAGAATGAAACAACTCCAAGCAGCTCTGGCAAGGCTGGAAAAACATCCAGGAAAAGCCTTAAGAGCACAAAACGTCTGCTCCCTTTAAGTAAGTCATCAACGTGGACCCACAGCAAAACCCTCCCGAAGCTCAGGGCACCCACTCCCGAGCGAGGGGCTGATCCAAGCCCCCAGCTACGCCAAGGGCAGCGGGTCTGCGCCCCTCTGCGGGGCCGGGAGCCCTTCCCCAGCACCCAAGCCCCACACAAACTTCCTCACGGCCCTCTCCTGTCACTTCGGGGAGTGTCTCCCCCCGCCCCCCCCAACCCCAGTGAGGACACCCGTGGAGGTGGATGGCCCCTAGAGCCATCCCAGGAATGACACCAGATTTGGGGGACTCAATGGAAAAAAGCTGTGGGATAAATCAGCTCCACCCAGACCCACAAAACCCTCCTAATCCCCACCAGGCCCTCAGTGTCTCCTTGGAGGCGTCGGTCACCTCTTGGCAGAGCCATGCGTGGACCGACCTGGTGCACAGAGCCCCAACAACCCAAGCCCTCGCCGCACCGGGACGGTACTGACTGGGAGAAGCCCAGAGCAGCCCTGGAAGGAGGGCGGCTCGGTCCTGGGTCCCCAAATGGACCCGACACCGGCCCCCCTCCTGCCCCAAACAGCTCAAACCGGCCCCGACTTGGGGAAGAGCCGGATGATGGGGAAACCGGCACCCACCCGAGCCCGGTACAGACCCGGGCGGGCTCTGGGCAGACCCCCTACCAAACGGGCCTGGCAGCGAGAGGCCTCCCGGCCCCAC